CACACACACACACACACACACACACACACACACTCCTTTAGTTCTTAGAAAACATTTGGCATAAGATTATGTACTGAAGTGTATGTTATGGATTATCAGATCACTATACTTGAGAAGTCAGAACAGCCAGTTGTGGCTCTAATTAGTTCATTCTATGGTGAGGTTGGTGACTACTCTAGAGATTACTGCCTGAGATAATTCTGTGTGCCATGAGAGATCATGGATCAAAATGCCTTTATTTTAAAATAAAGTATTATACAAGTTAATATATGATCTATTAGTATTATTTGTCAGAGTTTTCTAAAATTAAAGAAACAAACAAGGACCTTCCTGTCACAAGCCTCATAAAATATTTACGTGGAAGCCATGGTCTAACTCTATCCTGGTTGTTTCCTATCTCTTCCCTGTTCCTCTCTGCATTGCTCCTCCAGTAGCGTGTTCTGCACAGGCTAAGACAGAGGTTCACACTTTTTTCCTTTGCTTTTTCAAGCCAAGAAATTTGTAAAGCCACCGAAGTCTTCATGTGCCCTCTCTGTGACAAGAATTGCTCATTGCAGAGACTCAATGACAGCTGCATCTATGCCAAAGTGAGTATGGGCCTGTGCAGTTTCTGTCCTGAGCTCCAGTTTTTCTAAGAATTAGGTAGTAGAAAGTTCCCCAATAAATAGTTTTTCTGCAGAAATTAATTGTCTACAAGTTTATCAACAATCATCAGTGTCATTGATAACTGAAAAAAATCAGTCTGTTGCAATTAAAAAGAGAATATATTTTGTTTTAATATATTTTTCTTCTTGTGTTATTATAACTGATAACTGACATCTTAGGTACAAACCTCCACTTGACATTATATCTGATTCATTTTTATGAGAATCATTATTTCCATGGTGATGATTCAATTTATATCTTTCATGAATTTATTAAGTTAAAATACTTCTAGCTGCACAGAGGAAATGAAATGTCATGTCTCAAAGTCCCATATTACTGTCTACCAAGATCACCTGAAGGACTTTTAAACTCCTGAAGAGCAAGCATCATCCCAAAGCCACTAAATGAGATTCTCTACATTAAAATCTAGATGTCATCACATTCCAAAATTTCTAAAAGTTCCTAGGTGAAAAAAGGCTCATATAAATGTAAAAAGATACCAATTTTCACTGTTTTTATTTTCAGAATAGTTTTATTGAAGAATAATTAATACATAGTAAACTAGACTAGACCCATTTGAAAAATAAAAATTGGTACATTTTGTTAATGCATATGTAGCTGTGAAGCATATCACCACAATGAAGATAATGAATATGTCTATCACCTCCAAAAGCTTTTGTGTACCCTCTTACCCTCTCATCCTTCCCCAGCTCTCCCACACACTCTCTCTGCAAGTTCATCTGTTTAAGTAACCAATTGCAATGTGTCATTACTGATAACCATGCATGTTTCTTGACTTTCATGTATATGGTATTAAATGGTATGAATTTTTATGACTTATTTTGTACACTGTAACATTTTTGAAATTATAATGTGGCATTTATCAACAGAACATTCTCATTATTGCTGAATACTGTTTCATTTTTTTCTATATGAAAATTTGTTATTTGTTCACATATTAATGCATTTCCCATTTTAAGTACATCTTTTAACTCACAATTGTTATTTCTCTTTGGTTAATATCTAGAAATAGAATAGTCAGGTTATATAATAGCTTTATTGTTAACTTTTGTATTAATCCAATTTATCTTATTGTGATGATTTGCCTGAGGTAAGTCACTTATCTAAGAAAAGAGGTTAATTTTAGTTCGTTATTATTGAGGTATGATATTTCAGGGTATCACCTGGTAAAGGTCTTCTTGCTGACAGACTCTTAAGTTAATGCAGAGGAGAGGCACAACATAAGGCAGGTAGGGTGAGATTGTGTTTGGTCACCCTCTCATCTTCATAAGATCAAAAGTTCTATCATAAGGACTGGGCTCCTCTGATGACTTGTATAATCCTAATCACTTCTCAAAAGCTCCAACTCTAAACATTAGAGTAGACTACATTTCCACCCTGTTACCTTAAAATTAGGGAGTCAAATTATTTATGTATATAATGACCTTTTGGAAAACAGCTAAGCAACCATTGTCCACTACATTATATAGCATGTCTTTTGCAGTCATGTCCTAGAGTTGTCTCCCACACAGCCACCAAGCCTCAGTGTGTCAATCTTTGTAAATTGTAATGACTCTGGTAGATGTCTAGAGACATCTCATTATGGTTTAGTTACTTGAAAATCATTTGATGTCTGGGAGGGATCTTTTTGCTTTCAAAATATTCAGTTTAGACTACTGCGATGCTCTGTCTAGATCTAATTGTTTCTACAACAGAACCAAGACCTTCCTGTGTAGTGTACTAAGGAACCAGGAATGATGGGGAGCTCTAGAATGGCTAATGGAAGTAGGTGCTTGGGGAACTCCGGTCCATTCTTTGTTCTATCCTTGATCTCAGGTAGTTTCCTTATATACATGCACACTTAATACACAATTAACATCAAATGACTTAATTAAAACATTTTAATTTCCATAGTTCTTTATATGCCTGGAATTATTTTAGGAAAATAATCTCAAGTATCATCTCTCACCTCTCCTGTTGCTGTACCTGCTTTGTATAATTTTGCTTGTTTCTAACATAGAAGTAAAATTGATTCTTGTTGGTCTATCAGTTCACTGTAACAAATAATTTTCACAGAGTTGAATGTGATATCAATAGTTAATCACTTTATCACAAACCAAAACTTAGTAAAGTTAGCTTCTCAATTTTTATCTTGAGTAATTAACATTTAAAACAGTTTGCAAAATTATTTTATTTTATTTTAATTTTATGTTCATTGGTGTTTTGCCTGCATGTATATCAATGTGAGGGTGTTGGATCCCCTGGAACTGGAGTTACAGACAGTTGTGAGCTGCCATGTGGGTGCTGGGAATTGAACCTGGGTCCTCTGGAAGAACAGACACTGTTCTTAACCACTGAGGCATCTCTCCAGCCCCCCCCCCCACAAAATTATTTTATAAAACTGTTTACTTTTGAGTTCTCTGGGAAGGCCCAACAAAGATGATACCGTCTTAGATATGAAAATCGTGTTTTGCATCTGTTTTTTCATATCACTTTTTGAATAATTCCAGTGTAGGACACATAGATAACACAGATTAGCTATAACAAAGACAAAGGTAGACAAATGTATAAGCCACTCTGTTATGAAGTTATGAACTGCCATGAAGTTCCAAAATATGATAGCCTTAGGGATATCAAAGGTCTAGATATATGTTATTTCTGTTACTTCTAAATTTTCTTTGAAAAATCAAATAATGGCAAGACATGAACACTAAAGATCTGTGTCAGAGTTAAAAAGTAGTGAATTTGTCCGAAAATGTTTAAATCTAGGGTTTTTTTTTACAAATATCCAGTATAAACAGAGAAGATACACATAAAGACAGACATAGTTCTGAACTTGTTTGAAAATTTATAAAGAATGTGCAAGAGGCAACCTGCAAAGAAAACACTGCCTCCTGCAACAAGAAATAAGTCCTGTGTATATGAAGTATTTAAGGTCCTGCATTTCTCTATATAATATTAACTATAGTTACTTGTGTTAAACCTATAAATATCATGATTATTCTGTATTTGATGGAGAAAAATGAATCCTCATTTCATGTGTTAAGCAGTCTAGATTTACATCACTAGCTCCAAGAAGTTATCACTTCAGTTCCTCATGGCATCCATCAATTCCTGAGACCATGGAGAAGAAATTAAAGCCTATCATAATTTAGTTTTAAAATGCATATGTGTTTGCATGTAAAAATTGCATTTATCATATGATAAAAGTTTATACACACACACACACACACACACACACACACACACACACACACACGAACAACAACGTTTCCTTCAGTTGACTACTTTGATTTTAACAATGAAAACTACAGGAATTAAAATATCACATGACAACTTTAGAGACCATACCTCAGTTTCCAGCTTGTTGCTCTGCAAAATTTGGGGCTCCAACAGCAAAACCATTTTTTTTCTTTTTTGGGACAAGGTCTATGTATCTTAAATTGGCCTTGAACTTTTGATGCCCCTGCCTCAGTCTAAGTATTGAAATTATTGGTACACACCATCAGATTTCAAATAAACCTATATGCATATTAAAAATATATTTAACTAAATAATTTAGTGATATTTGTGCATCCATTTAAAAACACAACA